GTAAAACACACAACTGATTTCAAAGACTTTGCCTGAAAAAAGAATGTAAAGTATCTCACTGTTACTATATAATAACATTTAGTAGTATGTTTTCTTGAAATAATATTTTTTTTTGCTTTTGAAATAATATTTTGGATATGCTGGGTTAACTAAAATCAATTATTAAAGCTAATTTCACTTGTTTCCTTTCACTTATTTGTTTTTTAAGATTTTATTTATTTATTTGACAGAGAGAGGGAGAGAGAGAGAGAGAGCACAAGCAGGGGGAGGGGCAGAGGGAGAAGCAGACTCCCCACTGAGCAGAGAGCTGACGCAGGGATCATGACCTGAGTCGAAGGCAGACGCTTAACTGACTGAGCCACCCAGGTGCCCCTTCTTTCACTTTTTAAAATGCAGCTACAAGAGGGGTGCCTGGGTGGCTCAGTTGGTTGAGTGTCTGACTCTTGGTTTGGGCTCAGGTCATAATCTCAGAGTCCTGAGATCAAGTCCCATGTGGACGCTCTGTGCCGGGCACGGAGCCTGCTTATGATTCTCTCTCTCCCTCTCCTTCTGTCCTTCACCCCTGCTCACATGTTCTCTAAAAATAATAATAATAATATTTTTTTAAAAATAAAATTAAGGGGCTCCTGGTGGCTCAATTGGTTAGGCATCTGCCTACAGCTCAGCTCACGATCCGGGGGTCCTGGGATCAACCCCTTGTTGGGCTCCCCGCTCAGCAAGAAGCCTGCTTCTCCTCCCCAATCCCCACTTGTGCTCTCAAAAACGTAAATAAAATATTTTTTAAAAATAAAATTAGGGGCCCCTGGGTGGTTCAGTCGGTTAAATGCCTGCCTTTGGCTCAAGTCATGATCCCAGAGTTCTGGGATCAAGCCCCTGAGCAGGAAACCTGCTTCTCCCTCTCCTGCTCCCCCTGCTCGTTTACACTCTATCTCTGTCAAATAAATAAAACCTTTTGAAAATAAATAAAATAAATTTAAAAATTAAAAATCACACTTATCCCAGATCATATATATATAAAAAACAAATACTTTAATAAAACAAAATATGGTTACTAGAAAATTTAAATTAAGCACGTGGCTCTTGTTACATTTGTATCCCCAATCAGTGCTCAAGAGTTGTTGTTGTTCACTGCGGCGGCCACTAGCCACCTGCAGTTATTCAAATTTAACTTGACTTTAAGCAAAATTAATATCCAGTTCTTCAGTAGTTCTAGCCTCATTTCCAGTGCCCACCTGCCACCTGCGGCTGGTGGCACCTAACCAAAGAGCCCAGATACAGAACACTTCCACCGTTGTAGAAAGTTCTACAGAACAACACTGTTCTGGAGTAAAGTAGAAAAAATTTTTACAAGCATTAAGGCAAAACATAAGATTTCAGAAAAGGTTTCACCCACCAAGTGACACCTCCAGCTCTACAAGGGACGGCCTTGCATGGGGAACGGGTCCTAAATGTCGGCCCCTCTGGACGCCCACCCCGGCTTCTGCACGTCTCCCTGTTCTCTTACTTGCGAGCTGACCTTCCGGAAATCTGCTAACTGCTAACGGGCTCTCTTTTTAACTCACTGTTATCCTCAGTGATAACAGGTTGGATGTGCTAAGTATTTTTCCTACTTTACGTTAAACTCGTAACTATTGAAACTGAAATAAAAAGCATCTGTCCTGGGGTGCCTGGGTGGCTCCGTCGATCAAGTGTCCGACCCTCAGGTCAGGATCTCAGGGTCCTGGGATTGAGCCCCACATCGGGCTCTGTGCTCAGTGGGAGTCTGCTTGGGAATCTCTGTCCTTCTCCCTCTGCCCCTCCCCCAGCTTGTGCTTTCTCTCTCTCTCTCTCTAAAATAAATATATAAATCTTATTTTTTTTTAATTTTTATTTATTTATGATAGTCACACAGAATGAGAGAGAGAGGCAGAGACACAGGCAGAGGGAGAAGCAGGCTCCATGCACCGGGAGCCCGACGTGGGATCTGATCCTGGGTCTCCAGGATCGCGCCCGGGGCCAAAGGCAGGCGCCAAACCGCTGCGCCACCCAGGGATCCCAATCTTATTTTTTTTTTAAAGCATCTGTCCAGAGGATCCCCGGGTGGCTCAGCAGTCTGCCTTTGGCCCAGAGCGTGATCCTGGAGACCCGGGATGGAGTCCCACGTTGGGCTCCCTGCGTGGAGCCTGCTTCTCCCTCTACCTATGTCTCTGCCTCTCTCTCTCTCATGAATAAATAAATCTTAAAAAAAAATAAAATAAAACATCTGTCCTAAATTGCCTCACGTCCCCCTTCTACCCCTTCCCACGCAAACTGCTGAACATCTCAACTGGGGACAGAATCCTATGGCGTTTACTAGACTGACGTCTGGACGTGGTAGGAGCCACTGTACCCAGCCTGCGGGTGGGTCAGGGGTGCCTCATCAGAGGCGACTCTAAGGCCATGGGGGTGAAGCAGGGAGAAGGGGCAGATGGCAAAGCCACCGGCTAGGAAAGAGCCCATGGGCCAGGCGTGCAGATGAGAAGGTGCTGAGTGTGTGGAAGGGTGGCACTGGGGTGGACAGCACCCAGGAAAGCCAAAGAGGTCACCCTGTGACCGAGAAGATCAAGAACAGGGACTGGATTTAAGGGCGAGAGAAGCAGAAAAGAAAAGGGCAGAAGAGGTGGTCAGAAGAGCTGGGGGCTTTGGGCAATAGGACCCAAAGGTAAGGGCCCGGACAGGAGGCCCCGTGGAGGTGGCACAACCCCTGGAGAGCCTGGAAGTGGGCTCAGGGCCCCGCAGGACAGACACACAGCCCCCTGGCCCTACTGGTGCAGCTGCTCCTGGCTCAGACGCACCTGAGCTGTGCTTGGCGTGCTGCTCACTTAACGGGAGGCAGCAGGATGGAGTCAGGTTCCAGGCACTGTGCTGGGTATCAAAACTGCCCCTAACTCATTCTCTGATACTCCTGGCCTCAGTTTCCCCAGCAGGAACGAGGACTCCAGCTCTATGCATGTCCACAGAGTCAAATGCAGGGCTCCGCCTGAAATGCCCTTTCCTCCACTTAAGCCTCACCGCTTTCAGGAAGCCGGCTGGGCCTTCCCCTCCCCTCCCTGCCCTCCAAGCCCAGATTCACTAGCTGCCAACGTGTGTCTCGGGCTTCTCGGCCCCTCCATCGCCTTGGATTGGAGCCATTAGTTTAGCTCTTCTCCCCTGGACCATGAGCTCACTGGGTAAGGAGCTCCCGCCTCCTTGGGGGCTGTGCTCCCCAAGCCAAGGGTGGGCCTGGCATGGACATGCTCCTTGATAGCTGAGTGGATGAATGAATGAAAATGAACTTATGTCGTGTTGAGTTGGAGGCTCTGTGAGATGCAATGGCAGAGAACCCCGGGTAGTGGTGGAACTCGGGCCGGCAGGGAGAGCTAGAGGAGAGAGGTGACAGAGCCACCCACCAGGTCTTTGGCATCTCCCATTCTGGGCTGGGGTTTCCTGAGGACCCTGCGGAGGGAGGCTTGCTGGGGGGGGGGGGGTTACTTCCAGGATGAGGCAGGGACCCACGAGCAAGGCCAAGGAGGGGCAGCTCCAGCTGTCTCCTGCCGGGAGACAGGACTTCGGGGACTTGGGCCCCACCTGCTGGTGTCCACCTACCTTCTCCAGAAGGCCTTCCCGCCCAGCTCGGGGACAGTCCCTTCAGGCCCCCGGGCGCCCTCACCTCCACCAGCGGGTAGGCGATCTCGTTGTAGATCTGCTCGGTGAAGTGGTCCATGTAGTAGGCGCCGTCGAAGGTGAACTGCTTGGGGGGCTCGTCGGCGGCGCCCGGGTTCTGCAGGAAGCACTGGCCGCGCGCGGAGTCCACCGTCACCACGGGCTGGCAGTTCAGCTCCCGCTCCCGCTGGTTCATGGGGCGGCAGCGCACCACCACCTTCACCGACTCCGAGGCCATGGCGCCGCGGCGGGGGGCCCCGGGGTGCGGCCCGAGGGGGGCGGCGAGGCCGGGATGGGCGGCCGCCGGGGCCAGGGGGCGGGGCCAGCGCCTAGGGGCGTGGCCAGGGGCGGGGGCGTGGCCAGGGGCGGGGGCGGGGCCTGGCGGCGGGACCGCTCGGGGGGGCGCCCGGAGAGGAGGGGCGCGGCGGGGGCGCGTCGCAGGACCGGAGCCGGGGCCGCCGCCTCCTCCCGCCCCAGGGCTCGCCCGTCCCTGAGGCCCGGCCCGGGGAGCGGGCAGTGGAGGGATCCGCGCTGCAGGCGCCGCCGCGGGACCCGAGCCCCGGAGCCTCCCCAGCGCGCAGCCGCGGCGTTCGCGGTTGCCGGGCAACGCCGGTGGCGTCACAGCCGCAGGCTCCCGGGGGACCCCCGCGTTCTCGCCACCCGCCGCTGGGGCGTTCCGTCGCGGGAGGCCGGCCGGGGCGGCCCGGTGCTGGGGCGTCAGCTCCCTCCTCACCTCCCCACCGCCCGGCCCAGAGAGGTTAAGCAGTTTGCCCGACGTTGCCCAGCCAGGACGCGGGGACGCAGGAAGCGGGGCCTCCAGACTGAGACAGGTCGCCTCTTATCCCTCTACGGACTCCGGGGAGGGCTACCCACCCCCCAACCCCCGACAGAGCAAAGCTGCTTTCTAATGCCGCCCTCATTTTTTCTAAGATGCAGGTTAAAAAACAAAGAAAAAAAAAAAACAACTTTTGAGAGCCAAAGTCTTTTGACTGTTGGCTTGAGCCAAGCCAAGATCCCCGTCTGAGCCAAAGTCCCTCCGGCCAGAAAAGCAGCTGTCACTTTCCAGTAGGAAATACCCATTGAAATACCCATTGAAGCTTTTAACAGGACAGACATGACTTGGACAAATCTACCGACCCTATTCCTTCAAGACATCCCGAGCCCTGAGGACAGGATCTCTGTGTGGCTCACCCTTGGGCGCCCGCCGAAGGTATGGTTGGCAAACCTAGTGAGCGGCCTGGAAGAAGACCTTGCCTTCCGAAGGGAAAGTCTGTACTAGACCATCCGAAGAAACGCATTTTATTTGTTTCAAGTCCACACAGTGAGGAGAGCTGGCTACCCAGGTGGTGCCCGTTGGAACAAAGAGAAAACTGATCTATGATTAAGACACTGAAGCATCTGCACAGGAGTCAAGCCCCTTGCCCTGTGCATACCACGTGATGAATACTGTGTGAAGGAATGGTAACGTGCTTTGAGAACATTCCTGATGCCCTGTCCACATGGACGGTGCGCACGACAAAACCCCTCTCTCACAGAGGGAGGCTTTGGCCTCCTCAGCCTGGGCCAGTCACCAGGTCTTGAACACATGTCTCGGGTGCTGTAATTCCGGACACTGTGTCAGCAAACCCCTCTGCTTGCCAGGGAAAGGTGAGACCGGGCCTCCCACGGGGGACCAGGGACCATCGGTTCTGGTGGAAATGGCTGTAAAATGAGTCCCAGTTCCCACTCACGTTCAATATAAAATCAGTGCTGTAGTTCCAGTGAGAAGAACCCCCAAAGGCCAGCTGCCTCCTGTTGTCCCTTGTAACGAGAGTGACAGGGTCCCCAGCCCAGACCATTTCCTGGGCGGGAGGCTATAAGCTGGGTATGTGGGGCCTGACTTCCTGAGGAGCCTCCCTTCTTTCTCTCCCGTTAGGCACCCCCTCTCCCTTCCAGGAGTCAGAAATCCATCTTTCAAGGCTCAGAACAGCCACATCCCACTCCTAGAAGGGGGAGAGGGCAGCCCCCAGATTCGTGACTCGGCCTCTGCCTCAGAAATAGAAGTTCATCCAAAGTGAACTTGCTCCCTAAATAATTCGGTATTTGTGTCCATCTGTCGAGCTTAAAGGGGGGGGGGGGCACCTGGATCTGTCAATCACTGCAGGACCATCGCCTTAGATCAGAGTCATTTCCCTTTACCCCCACTCCCCGCTAAGGCCAAGGGCCCCTCTGGCAGGGCCCACATCACTTCTACCTTTGGATGGTTCTACTCTGACCCCATTCCCAGTGGGGCAGGCCAGTGAGCTAGCCCCTGACAAGCATGGGAAGTGGGCCAGAATCCGGTGGCTTCCCAGGCAGCCCCTAAAGCCAGACCTGCCTGCAGGATGAGTTGAACAGGACCCTCATCACCCCTCACTCCTATGGCTCACTGCTGGCCCCTCCCAGTCAAATGGACGAGGAAAATGACCCCGTGTGTGGGTCAGGGGGTGGGGGGGCCCGTCTTGGTGGTCCTCAGGGCTGTGGGGGAGGGGATGAGGCTGGGGCATCCCTCCCCAGAAGGCAGGAATCACCATCCTGTGGATTTGATTGGAGACAAACTAGCCTTTCTAAGCAGCACAGGGATTCTTTACCCTGTCCGTTCACGTCCCTTTCACACACACGTCTGTGTGTGGCCTTGTGGCGGGCATGGCCCTTCGTCCAGCCTGCCCTTTTGTGCCCTCCTAACCCTCATTCCTCAGAATTCAATACAAGACTCCCTTACCTCACGTGATGTGAGAAACAGGCTGTGTGTCTGTCAGCCTGGGTACAGCTCGGCCCAGCCACCATGCCCATCAGTTCCTCCAAGTTCTCTCTGTTTCTCCCATGGACAAGGGGCTCGCCCCCAGGTCTTTGCCCGCAGTGAGGACATGCTCCTGCCTCCCCAGACATGCTCCCTCATGTCCCTCATGCTCCTGCTTCCCCAGACATGCTCCCTCCCTCAGTCAGGTACTCTCGGAAGACTCCCAGTCAGGGCCCTGAGGCCTGGCCTCCTTACAAGATGGCCACATCCCTCATGATCGAACCTTCCTGTCCACCTCAGAAAGCTCCCCTCTTAGGAGTAAAATGAGGCCCAGAGACAAGCATCCAAAGTCACCCAGCAAGTTAAGGGAAGCCCGGAGCTCCGCCTGCCCCTCCTAAAATCTCGGCAGGGCCACCTGTCTTGTGAGAAGCCACTGGCAATCCCCAGCATCAGGGCTCCCCTCCTACCACAGGCAGTGAAGTGATGGAAAGCTGGTCCAAGGGGCAGAGTGACTGGATGGAACTGGGGACCAGCAGGGTGGCGGAAGGGCAGGGCGGCCAAGTGAGGCCCAGAAGCTAGGGTGAGGTAGGGCTAGTGGGCTACCTCTTAGCCCAGGCCCTGCAGCTCTGCCTCGGACTTGGCGTGGCTCAGGGGCCGCAATGTCCGGGGAGGTCTGCCCTCAGACCCACAGTCCTGCTCTTCATAGCTGGGGTTCAGACGGCCCATGTCCAGGGAGCAGAAGAGGCTGCGCTCGGTTCCAGCATGGTGTTCCACCAGGGCCTCCAGGCTGGCAAACTCGGCAGGCAGGTGCTAGGGCAGAAAGGGCTGAAGCTCCAGCGTCCCCTCCCCATGGCTCTGCTCTGGGCACCAGCATCCCCCTCCCAAGGGATCCTGCCCCCTTTCAGAAGGGAGGAAACTGGAGCTCAGAGAGGGCACGGTCCTGCTCACCGCAGAGCCAGACACTGTCTCCTCTCCTCTCCTGCCAGCCTGGACAGGACTGAGGCATTCAGCTTGTAATAAGTGCACCCATCTGGTCCCTGGAGACCTGTGGGCAGGCCGGGTCCCCAGACCTGGAAGCCCAGAGGCCGGGTGAGCTTAGGCCAACCCCTGCCCTGAGTCACTTTCCAGCTCCACTAAAAGATGGGCTAGGATGTGGGAAAGCCTGGATTCCCCCAGAAATGGGAGGCCTGACCGGGGCCCAAGGCTACTGGAGGTCCCCTCCAAAAACCCCTGGGGGCGCCTGGGTGGTTCAGGTCATGACCTCAGGAGATCTCAAGAGCCCCGGGATGGAGCCCCGCCTCAGGCTCCCCGCAGAGTCGGCTTCTTCCTCCGCTCCTACCCCTGCTAGCGCTATCAGATAATTAAAATCTTTGGGGGAAAAAAAAAAGCCTCCGCCGGGGGCCCGAGGCCGGGGCCAGCAGAGCCAATGACAAACTGGTTGGAGAGTTAGAGACTAAGGGGCGTGGCCAGAGGGAGCCAATGGGGCACCGTGATGAGGGGCGTGCGCTCCCGCCCCGGGCCAGAGTGGGCGGGGCCGAGGGCGGAGCTTGGGGCGAGGGCGGGGCGAGGACGCGGCCGGCTGCCCGCACGCTCACCTCCACGCAGTAGCGGCCCAGGTGGTTGCGGAAGACCTGGTGGGGCACCACGCCGCACTGTGTCCGCACCGACAGGCACCACTGGCCACTGGCGCCCGGCTCGGGCCACAGCAGGAAGGCGCCCAGCACGTCTCTCCGCAGCAGGGCGAGGGCGCTGGGCCTGGGAGGGCGGCGGGGAGAGGCTGAAGGCGGGAGCGACCGCCACCTGGCATCTGGGGCATCCCCGGGGCGATGCAGAACCGGAGGCGGTGCCGGACCCAGAGTAGGCCCTCCAGGGGGGAAGCTTTTAGACTTCCCTGGAGGCGTCTAAGGGGTTCTTGACCGCTGATGGCTTCAAGACCCAACCGGGAGACTGGTGAAGGGCGGGCGGTAAGGAAGCTGCTGCCCTGTGACAGGCCGCGTGCTGAAGGCTGTCCCAGAGTTGCCCGGTTTGATCCTCTCCATAGACCTCTTATTATCCCCATTTCACATTTGAGAAAACGCACCCAGTGGGGTTAGTCCCTGGCTGGGGGGAGCCCACAGCCCACTCCTCTGCCCATCCCAGGGGCTGCGCACCAGCCAGGCAGGCCCCCCTACCTGGAGATGCCAGCAAAGGCCCAGATGTTCTCCGTCAGGCTGCCCTCGTTCTCCACCAGGCACGCCGGGCCACCAGGCCCCCGCGGCCACGCCTCCCAAGCTGCAGGAACTGTGGAGACCACCCAGGGGTCAGAGGGAGAGGCCACCACCGCCATTTACCCACATGCTGGTGTCCTCACCAGGCCTCCCGCAGCAAAGATGCATCCACACACACACAGCTCCCTCAGGCACAGCTACACGATCCCCTCTGCACACTCCCGTGGACACGGGCACAGCCACACACGGGCACAGCCTTGCATTGACACAGCCGCTCAGGCTTAGCTCTCTGACTCACGGGGGCACACACAGGCCCACGCCCCTGCCACTCACAGGCCTCCCGAGCTGACAGCTGCAGCTGAGTCTCGTAGGTGCAGCCACGGTAAGCCCCAGAGCGGATCACCTTGCTGCGAATGGCCTTCTTGCGCACCAGCGTGGGCGAGCAGTAAGGGTTCCCCAGGCGGGCGTGGCGGGCTCCCCCACGGCCTTCTGACTCTGGTAGCTCCTTCTAAAGCACCAAGAGGGGCCCACGGGGGCAGGCCGACTCAGGCTCGGCCACGTCAGGTCAGGCGAAACCCCTTCCCACTGATGTCCACCACCCCCTCCCCCCACACTGACCCCCAAACCCTCGCCTGGGGTCCCCCTGTCCACAGCCCCTGCCCTGGCTGGGGCTCCTGCGTACCCCGCTGCCCACAGGCCCCTCTGCTGGCAGCCGCCTGAAGGAGACCAGTGCATGAACGTTCTGTGAGAGCTGATCTCGGCTGAAGGGTTCCCGCACTAGGCCAGAGGGCCCCCCGGGGCTGGGCTGTGGCTTCAGGGGCATGTCCCCTGCAGCCCCCAGGCCGGGCTCAGGCTGGGCCCGCTCCTCAGGGTGCTGCAAGAGGTAAGCAAGCTGGAAGGAACGGCAGAGCAACAGGTGCAGGATCTGGACCTAGGAAGGAGGAGGGGCGGGCTCAGTTGGGACAGGTTCCCTGAGGAACCCTACACATCAGCCCAGTCACCCTTAGTGCTGGAGCCCCTTTTCCCCATTCTTCCTGGGAAAACTCCTCTCATCCTGCAAAACTTCACCACCATGCTGTCCCTCCTACCAGCTTCCTTCGTTCATTTCACAAATCCTGAGCATCTGCTTTGTTGCAGACATCCTGCTTGGGGCTGGGAATGCCTGGGCCACATGCACTCCTACCCCTGGGTTTACTACCCCACCCTATGTCACCCTCTTAGAGCAGTGGCTATGAGCCCAGGCCCTCCAGCCCTGCAACCTGGGGTCCAGTGCCAGCTCCATCACTTAGGGGCTACTGTGTGACTCCGGGCAGAGCATGGCACCTCTGTGCCTCAGTTTCCTCCCCACTTCCCTGTGCTCCTTCAGTGAAGTGGAGCACAGAAAGCCCCCAGCATAGACCCACCGCTCCAGGGCCACTATGCTCTACCACCACACTCATTACCCAGCCCGACAGGATGGAACCGTGAGTGTGGGAAGATCGGGTGCAGTGTCTCAGCCACCTGTCATTCCCACCGCCTGCACACAGCTTGAGATGCAGGGGTGACGGCAAATGTTGCTGGGTGGAACCACGCCCAGCCTCTGCTTGCTGAGCAGTCGGCTGCCACAGCTCTGTTGTTCATGGTGCCCATAGCGGCTTGATTGCCGGGATCTACTCACTCATCCACGGGCCCCACGGGCCCACACACCAGGGCAGTTCAAGACCTGGACCCACTTTCTGCTCTCAAAGAATTCTATTATCTGTAATTAGGGACAGACAGATGACAGAGCATAGTTCATGTCACAAGACCTCAGAAGGGAAGAGTGGGGGACGCCTGGGTGGCTCAGTGGTTGAGCGTCTGCCTTTGGCTCAAGGCGTGATCCCCGGGTTCTGGGATTGAGTCCTGCATCAGGCTTTTTTAGTAAAAATCTTAAAAAAAAAAAAAGGGGGGGGGGAAGAGTGATCTAGAGGACTCAAGGCAGGCTTCACAGACACATGGACTAGCCTTGAAGAGCAAGCTGGACTCTGCCAGAGGGGAAGTGAATTTCAGGCAGAACAGCATGAGCAAAGGCCTAGTAGCATGACCATCCAATTTCTAAGCACCTGGCCTGATCCCCACTTCCAGGCCCCGGGGAATGCTGAGGCCACTAACGTGCTTCTGTGGAACCCTCCGTGGACAGAGCCATAGAAGGAGCCAGTGTGGCAAGGAGTGCTCGCCCCTTGGTCCCCAGAGCGCACGCTGATGCCTGGTGCATGGCCAACCCCAGCCTCAGCAGTGCTCGCCCCGCCCTGGGCCCCAGATACCTCTCCAGGCTGGCTGCCCACGAAGAGATGGCAAAAGAGCTTGCTGGCTGGGCTCTGGGGATTTCGGGCCATGAAGGCAAACTGGCAGTCAGCTGGGCACCAGGTGGAGTAGAGGATGCGCCTCAGAGCATGAGCCATCAGGAGCACCTGGGGAGCACGGGCAGGATGGCCTCATCAGACCCACTGCGGCCTGTGGCTGCCAGCCCTGGCCCTGTGGGCCCCACACCCCTGCAGGCTGGCCTCCGGGGCCCGCTGTCCAGCCTGTGCCCGGCTTAGGGCCCACCCAGCTCCAGGGGACAAACTCTTCCCTCCCTCCAGGCCACCCAAACCCTGCTTCAAATGGGACTCCCATCCTTCCCATTGCCTCTGGGCTTGGTCCCTTGTCCCCACTGCCAACCTGCTGGTTGGGATTGTCGTCCCCCCGCCCCTGCTGCCGTCATGCTACAGAACTGAGGGCAAGTTGTTCACGGCTGGCAGGGTCACAGAGAAAGGTCGTGGCAGTGGACCCTCAGGTTGCACATCTGGTGTCTGGAGTCAGATGACCAGGGTTTGAATCCTGGCTCTGCATACTCTCTGGGTCACTTGGGCAGGTAAACACAGCCCTCCACGCCCTGTGACACTCATTTAGTGGGGACGGTACCCCCGCTCTGATGGGGTTGTGGGTGGGGATCAGTGAGACTTCATGCAAGTGGCACAGGACCTGACCCCCAGGCCCCTGTGATGCACATGTCCAGGACACGATTTGCACCACAGTCGTAGGAGCGTGGCCCTGGGTTTGTGGGTGCACAGCCTGGCACAAGGTTGGTGTTCAACACACACAGGCTTGTGGCAGGAGAGGGATGAGCCATGAAGCCGGTGCTCCCTACTGGCCTCCAGCCCGAGTCGGGCCACAGCCTCCTGGCCATCTCTGGGCAGGCCTACACGGAGGCCCCAGGGGCCTGCAAAAAGCCGGGGCTGATGATCCTGACATCAGGCCAGGAGGCAGGCCCCGGAGATTTTGGAGGGCCCGGGCTGGGGGTGAGATGGAGGAGAAAGCGTTGCCAGAGCTTGCCTTGAGGGCAGGGCCCACGGAGACAGGATGTCCACAGGCCCAGAGCAGGCTGGGAGGGCAGGGATGCTTAAGGGCGGCGCGGGGCCGGGCGCATTCTGAGGGAGTAGGACACCTGTCCAGTCCAGGCCTCACCTGCACCCATACAGGCTCCTACCTCGCCCTCCCCGCTGTAGATCTTAAGACCCTGGAGGCTGAATTTCAGGATGACGGCCCGACGTCGGGGATAATCCTGCGTGGGAGAGAGTTGGTTGGGGGCAGGCATGACCTTCCAGGCCCTGCCCTGCCTCAGGACTAGCCACCACCAGCTGGGCAGCCAACTCCACCCCAGCTGCCAAGGGACTGGGCCCTGGACAGTGGACTCCCCCGGAGCTGGGGAAGTGTGGCTGGGTCCTGGAAGGCAGCCCCCGGTGGGGCCAGTGCTGCCCATGTTCTGACTATCCCCCAACCTCCCATCTGTGGCTTCCTCACATGGGACACTGGTCATGACTGCCCAAGGGAAGGGGTCCCGGGGTGGGGGGGGGCACAAGGGACACGGCTCCAGGAGCCTGGCTATGGCCCTCCAGGGCACACTTCTCAGAATGGCTCTGCTCCCGCCCCTCCTTGGGCCTCACTTGCTCCATCTCCGTGATGGGGGGGAGGGGGGATTGGATCAGGTGGCCTCAGGGGCCATTCTAGCCTGACCTTCCAAGGCTGTGACCCCGGCCAGGGATGCGCCCCCCCCCAGCGCCCTACCTTCAGTGCCCACAACTGTTGTTGTACGAGCCACACACCCTCCTGGGTATCCAGGTCGTCCACGGGGAAGGAACCCACGTACTGCTTGGGGGTGCGGTGGGGGCAGCAGGGAGGCAGGGCAGTCAGGACCACGGCTCCTGACCCCGTCTTCCACACTCCCCCCCCAGACATGCTCTGCTCTGCCAGGTAAGCTGGGGACAGGGAGCTGGGGCCCAGTAGGCTCTGCTGGCTTCCCAGCAGGTGGCTTCGGTCAAGCCTCTGCCCCTCTGAGGCCATCTCATCTGTGCACACACACACATTCTAGAGTGTGGATCCGGATCTGTCTATCCGACAGAAATAGCTGCTCCCTGCTCCCCAGGACCACCCTCAGCCAGGGCCCACCGGAGCACGACCGTGGGGGCGGCCCCACCCACCTGGGCGTACTTGGTGATGCACCTGGGCCGGTGAGGGGCGGGGCCGCAGTCCGAGGCCCTCCGGCCCCCTGCCCCGGGCCTCTGCATGGCCCCCAGGCTTCTACAGAGTGCGGGGGAGAAAGGATGGCTCCCGGGGACTCGGGCTGTGAGCCCCTTTCCACCAACCCTTCCGAGCACTTGCTGTGTGCCAGGCGAAGTCCAGGACCCTGAGGACACAGGGAATACACACAGCCCTGAAGGAAAGGACAGACCCCCTCCTGCCCTGGGGCAGCTGGTGTGCTAGTGTGGAGGAAGGCCGCTGGAACGGATCAGTCAGATATGGAATATGCTAGACGGTGACAAGGGGGTGGGGAAAGGCAGGCTGGGGTTGCTGCAGTGAGGTTTGGGGGAAGGGCTGAAGGGGGGTGTGGCAGGGCACACCCAGGGCCAAACACTGACACCTCTGTGCTCAGGCCTGGGGTGCCCTGGGGAGGCGGATGGGGCAGGGGACACGTACCAGCCTGTACAAGGTGCCAGAGGAAGGGGGGCAGCCCGAGAAGGCACCACCTGAGGGGAGGGGTATGGGAGCTCCCAGGACAGTCTGCAGAGGCACAGGGAAGAGAGCAGCCGAGCCCCTGGGTGGACCTACCAGAAGAGTGGGCCAGAGCCAGGCTGGGATCAGCCTTACATGTCACACCAAGAGATTTCAGGCTGTGCCCTGGGGGCAGTGCGGAGCCACAGCAGGTTCCAGGGCAGGAGCGCTGTGATACTGGGAGTGGCCCACAAACTGGATGGCCTGAGCTTGCCAAGGCTAGGCTGCGGCTGGAAGCCCCCAGGGGGCTGAGGAGCCCTGCCCCCGACTCAGCCCAGGTTTTGGTGTTTCATGGGGCCCCTCTCTCAGATGCATTCGTGGAGAGAAGGAAACCTCCCGGACTAGACCATCCTCAAGGGAGAGCGCTCAGTTCCCCTTCAGCTCATGACCCCTGGTGCAGAGTGACCGCAGCACCTAGGCATCTGGAGAAAGAAGGGCTGACTGCCCTCTGCCTGGGTCCCCCCAACGCAGCTCCTCCAGTCTTTCCTGGGTGGCTTAGACCCCCTGCCCCCCATCCTGCCTGGTTCTGGCTCACCAGACTCCTTCCCATCCCTGCACTTAGGATCAGGGAGTCCTGGGTCCAAATGCTGCGTAACTTCGGGCAAATGGCCCCACATCTCAGAGCCTCCATCTCCTCATCCCCAAACCTGGGGTAATGGGAGGAGTCTAGAACTGAGCAGAGGAGCAGGTACCTGCATGATGCCAGCGGGGTGGGAGGGACAACTTAACAGGTGCACACAGGATGGGGGGACCCCAAGGCCTGCTATCCAGGAGGGAGCCTGGGAGGACAGCGAGGCGGCAGGAGAGACCTGCCTGGGAGCCACAATTCCACCAGGAGAAAGCAGGTATGGGGCTCTGGGTAGGAAATGGGGGCTTCCGGGGTGGGCTCTACGCACCTTCATGCAGATGCTTGGAAACCGACACTCCCCGCGCCAGGAGCTGGGGAGCAGCCCCTACCCCTGCCCGCCCAGACCTCCAGTCCCAGCTCAGCCAGGGTGGGGGCAGCAGCAGCCACCACTACAGTCTGTGGGCAACAACCCACTATGTCACTTTCCCGGGGGTGGGGGGTGGGGGGTGGGTAGGAGAGCCAGAAATAAAGGCTGCACGGTCCCCTTGACGGCCTCTGGTCCCTCCCTCCTGTACCCTCTCTCCTCCTGCTTTTCTAGCCTCACACCCTCCACTTTTTAATCCTGATCATTTTCACATCATGTCCATTACCTACTGTCCATATGATGTTTCAATACAACAAAGCTAGATGTGTAGCGGGCGCAAAAGCTCTGTGGCCGCTGTTCAGGCACGGAGACTGGGCTTCCAGGGAACTCAACTTTTGATTTCATGGTCACTTTATGGGCTCAGATGCCCTGGACCCACAGGTGGTGGGACACAGAGGAGGCAAAGACCAAAACAAAAACAGGGCAAGAGGGAGAGAGGGAAAGAGGAGAGGATGAAAGGCAGTCAGCGGAAGTGGGAACAGAGATGCGAAGACAATACAAGATAGAGATAGAGGAGGGACAGGAGGGGGGAGAGACCAGGAGCACGTTTCCCATCCTGCCGGTGCTGACACAGCCCCTCAGACACTAAGGTGCTAAGACAGCAAAGAGGCACACGGGTCTCTGGCACACTCACGTTCACTCTCGCACATGCCCACATGCCGAGGCAGCTGTGTCCAGGGCTGCGAACCGCCTCCTGCCTCCTCCCTCCAGATCCAGAGCGGCAGCTTTCCTTGGGACACTCCACTGTCCCTGCCATCATCACCTGATCCTTTCCCAATCCCCCGGGAAACTGGAAGCTTCTCTCTTCCTCTCCCTCCCTCCCAGTGCATTTCAGCCCCAAGCCTGGGTTTGGGGGCCACCCAAGGGACCAGTGAGGTTTACCAGGCTCACCCTAACCCCAGACCTGCTTACCCGTTCTGGGTGCAAACACCCACTTATTTTGGAGCACACTTGTTTTTTCCAAGGTTTTTATGCAGCAGCCTGGCTGGGCCAGCACCTTTCTAGGGGGACTCCTTTGGAATGAGGCCGGGGCTCTTCTTTTGCTCCTCTGAGAATTTCCAGGTGGTCCTGCTTAGAGACAGGGTACTGGATGGGTTGACTTGCCTTACGAGGGTCAAGGACAGAAGCACTCTGCTGAGTTGAGTCATGGGGGGAGGAGGCATCTTCAGAGCATCCCGGGAGACCACTCAGTCTGAACTCTGGGCTTAGCAAAGGGTGGCTCAGAGGGGTGAAGCCACTTGCCCAAGGTCACACAGCATAAGGGAGAGCTGGGAAGCAAACCTGGGGCTCTGGAGCTTGTTCCCCTAGGCCATGGCAGTGTCCTTCGGCTCACGCCCCCCTCCCAAGTAAGCAGGGTGTCCCCCATGGCAGTGTGGTGAGTCCCCTCTACCCTGAACACCTCAGGTGCTGAGGGCTGATCTTATCAGCAAAATAGCTGCTTTCTCAGTCTGTCTCCCTGTCCAGATGGTCTGGGGCGGCCTGAGCCACTCTGGTCACCTGCATCACCTCCACTACCTTTGGATCAGTCATACAGAAGAAGCCCCCCTCCATCCCTCCACCCGCAGACCGGACACACTCCTGCCCGCGACAAGTCCCTTAACTCCTCAGCCTCCATTTCCTCACCTGTAAAGTGGGGACGGTAATAGCAGCTGCCTCCTAGGGTTGCTCATTTATCTGCTCCTTCTGAAAATATTCCAAGTGCCAACCATGTGCCCGGTGAACAAAAACAAAGTCCCTGTCCTCGGGGAGCGCGCAAGCAGGGTCAGGGGGACCGTGCTGAGAATCAGCATCACAAGGGACTTAAGCGATTTGGAGAAAAACGCAGTGGGGTGAGGAGGAAATGTGATGTATGTGTGTGTGTGTGTGGGGGGGGGGGTGTTTAATGCAGAGAGGTCGAGGGTGGCCTCTCCAAACAGACGACATGGAGCGGAAAGCGCTGCCTTCCAGATTAAGCGGGGAGGGCGCCCGGGCGGCACGGAGCGCGCCCGCGCGGGTCGTCATCCTGCTCTTCCTGTCATTCCTGGGGGCGGACAGCGCTCTGGGCAGAGAAAGTCCCCGGGCCGACCGCGGGGCGAGCGAGGCAGGACGCTGGCGGAGGGACGGCGGAGGTGACGGCGGCGGCGGAGGGAAGCGGCCGAGACGCTCCCCCCAGCCCCCCCCCCCGCCCGCCCTGCGCCCGGGGACCCAGCCCCCCTCCCCGCGACCCTCCAGCCCCGGCCCCGGCCCCGCTCCCCCGCGCTCACTCACCGCGGCCGCCGCGGCCCGAGTCCCGCCGCCGCAGCTCGGCGCTGCTCCCCCGGAGCGCCCTGCGCGTCCCCGCCGCCCGCCCCCCGGCACCCCCCGCACCCCCCGCACCCCCGCCCGCGCGCCCCCCACGTGGCCGCGGGAACCAGCACCCCGTATCACCTGGCGGCGGCGCCCGCCCGGGCCCACCAATCGCCGCCCGCGGAGCGGCTCCGCTCGGGCGCGCCGCCCAATCAGCGGCCGCGAGGGGTCCTGGCTCCGCCCCCGCCGGCTCGCGCCCCGGAGCTCCGCCTTAAAGGGCCTGAGGGGTCGCGCCTGCCCCCCGCGGGCCCGTCTCTCCGGGCTGAGGGGTCTGAGCGCTCAGGGCCTCGCCGACGTCTCCCTCTTTGAGGAGACCTTCCCCTCTGGCCCCCTGGCTAGCTCCTCCTCCTCCAAGCGGCGCCTCGAGCAGCTCCTCCTCCGGGAAGCCTTCCCAGACCACCGGTGCCTCCTCCACCCCCTGCAGAGCCCTCGTGACTCTCGCTTACGGGACCACGTTGGAGACCAGGCCTCTTATCGGAGTGCAGGCGGCTCTGACCAGGAGGGGCCTCCATCCCCAGTGCGCAGGACAGAGCCTGCTTCGTTCAGTGACTGTCGTCGCGACGAGGGAGTGGATGCACTCAGGACCCAGCCCCCGTGGCCTCCAGGACCTCCGGGACAACTGGGCCAGGGTCACCTTCCGCCCCTCGCCCTCAGTAGGTAGTGGGTATCACGCACCCTCTTCCTCGTCCCATAGGAGGGGCCCTCGCGTCTGCCCAGCTCGGCGTGAACGTCGGTCACACTGCACGTGGACCGTGTCCCTCTCCTTCGGCCTGCTCGCAAATCCGCTTAGGTGGGGGAGACTGGTGTGCAGACCCAGCTTTGAACTGGAAAGCACTTTTGTTCCCATCAGACCGGGCATCTTGTAGGTGCCCCCCCCCCCAAAAAAAATACCCTGCAAACCCGATTCAGGTGGTGTATGGAAGTGTGAGTTCCGCAGAGAGGAAACACCAGAAATTGCGCACGCACCACTCCTCGGAAAATAAGACACGGGCGCTCGGGTCCAGTGGGGGAGCACCCCGACAGGGGTGAGCGAGGCAGAAAAACAGGGTCTAGGGGCCTCGAGCCTCAGGTGAGTTCTGGAGGAGGCTGGTCTGAGCCACACCTGTGTGCTGGCCATTCCCTTGGTCTCAGAGCATGGGCATGCTCTTCCAGAGGCAGCAAGGGGGTGTAATGGTTAGAGGCTTGCTCCCAAATTTGGGCACAAAATCTTACTAGATGTAGGACCTTGGGCAAACACCTTAATCACTTTAATCTAGAATGCCTCATCTGTTAAGTGTCACTAACACCTGACTCATAGCGACGTCAGGAT